TGCAGACAGTGATTACCCAGAGACCCAGCTACACCTTGCATTCTCCTGTGCAGTCACAGTGTCATCTCAAGATCCCACAGTGATGGGGTGCAGAGGACCACTCTGACCCACTAGCCTGTCCAGTCCATAGAGAGGCAGCCATTTCCAGAGCCAACTGCCTGTGGGTGCTCTGCTTAGGCGGTTTGAGCCCTGGAACCTTTGGTATGGTAGGAGGGTAGGGGTGCCTCACAGTCCTACATGGGTGCCCAGCTCTCTGTTAATCTTCCCAGCCATACTCAAAGTCAGTGGGGAATGCAGATTTTTCCCTCTGTTAGATTCTCTGGATCACACATGTACACAAGAGCTGCTAGCCAAATGTTGCCTTCTCCCCCCTGGTTGCACTGGACCTACTGCTGCCAGTATTGCTGTAAAGATGGTGTCTTGTCTCAGCCAGTTGCTGTGTGCATGCACAAGGAATTCTGCAGTTGCTGTTTATGCCCAAAATGGTGCCTGTCCCTAGTCAGCTGGTCATAGGGTGCCACTGTGGAGGAAGATGTGGTGAAATATGTCCCTTTTTTTTTATTGCATAGTGAGTACCCTCTGCCCCTTAGGGCTCCAGGCCAGACAATTGCCATGCTCTCCCACTGGTTATATCACCAGTGGCACAGGTTGCTGCAGTCTAATCTCACCTTTGACTCCAAAGCTGGCGCTTTCTCTGGTTCTCAGCTGCTGGAGTCATGTGTTATGTCCATGTTCATGCTGTGCATTTGCACCTTGCACACAGATCCATGGCATTCCTCTTCCTTCCGTAGAATTTCCAAAGTGGTTTTCTTTCTAACCCTCTCCTTCCCTGAGTTGGATTTTCTATTTTTTCCTTTTTTTTTTTTTTAACCATTTATCCCTAGCCTAGTGCAGTATGCTGTTCCCTATTCCGCCATCTTGGAAATCTTTGCAAAGACTCTTCCAAACCATCATTTTCATCCTTTCCACTTTACCCAACAGGCATCTGACAGATTCTTGATTTTTGACCCTAGAAATAAAAGCTACAGATATTGACCAAACTCATAGTGATTATTTCTTAGTTACCATGTATCACACTAAACTCACAACAACATTATAAAGCACACATTAGTATTTCTATATCAAGGGTGAACTTGAGGCTTGGAAGAAATCTTGGGTAAATTGGTCAAGGCCACAACTATGTCACAGGCCAGAAGTACCCAGCATTGGAGCATATTTGACTGCATTGAGTCAGAACTACTGTTTTGACTTCCTATTGGTGCACAAGAAGCCACATCATACAAGAACAGCAATGGATTTCTTTAGTGTTTTTGGAGCATCTTGGGGTTTGATCTACACTTGACTTGGCTGGGTTTCTGGGGCAGTTCTCTACATATTCTTCATCTTCCTCCTGAAACTAGCAGATTAGCTTGAGTATGTAGAAGAAGGAAAATAGAAATGTCAAGCTCTTTTAAGGGTTGGGTTTGGAATTGTTATACTCATTTCTGCCTCATTCTACTAGCCAAGAAAAGTTACAAGGTTGAGTCCAGTGTCAAGGAGAAACAAAACAAACTCCACCTTCATGGGGTGATACACATATTGTTCACTTCATATTTAATTCCTTGTCTTCTAGAATATTGCTTGCTGATGATAGCACAAAGATAACCCCTTCATCCCACCTCCTGGCTCCTATCCTCCTACTTCCACCCTCACTTCAGCTCTCCCAACCTGGCTGCCTGCCAGGAATCATCCTCAGTTGAAGGACGCTGCTTTGCCCAAGGGTACTCCCAGAGGCAACCCCTATCCAATAACTGGTCAGATGTGAGTACAAGGTCTGTTCCCTTGCCTCAGTTCAAGACATCTCTGAAAGGTCATCAGCTCCAGAGCTTCCTGGGAGATTTGCTGAGCCACAATCACCACTAAGTTATCTCTCTCTCTGCCCAACCTTGCTTTCCTCACTCCCATAGAATGGCTGTTCCCACGCATGCTCCCCAGTAGCCACATGTAAATCTAATCCTCAACATGGGAGGGAATCCAAAGTCAATGACAAAAGGCACAGATATGGTATAGGAGAGAATCAGGCTCCCTAGACAGCCAGTTTCCAGTTGGGCACAGCCAATGGGTAGCACAGGTAGGACGTTGGGAGATAAGAGGAGGGGCCAGGGTTTTTCCCCTTTCACTCCCTTCTGTTTTGGAGCAGCCTCTTTGGCAGGAGGGTAGCCCTGATTACAGGTCTCACTAGAAATGGCTTCCTTCTACTTCTGGTCTCTGGGTGTCTCAGTATCCCTTGTTGATTCCCTTAATCTTGCCCACAGCTCTGTCAGTAGTATCTTATCAAAGTCTCTTCATTGAAACATTTGCATTGAATCCTGTTTCCAGCCAGGACCCTGGCTGATCTACTGTGTTCTATTGCAGATTCTTGCAAATATCATATTTCCCTTCTGTCCAGACCAATAATGTGGAATAGTAAGAAGAACACTGGCCTTGGTGGCAGACAGACTTGATTTTATTTTTGATTCAGTCACATACTGACCTAATTAATGGCCAGGAAAGATTAAATACCTCCCTAGCCTGCTTTCTTGTTCATAAAGTGGAAAGGGGAGAAAATGACAGGTTGCAGTTGGATTTTGCTGGAAAATCTGCGCCTGACCCATGTGTTCCAAACCTCAGCAACTTGTGGTCACAGAAAGGACTCTCCCAACTCCAGGTCATCCTTTTAGATTCCCATTTTTACAGCATGAATCTCCTTCCTACCTGACTGAAGGAAATTCTCTCACATCAAAGGATTTCCTGTTATTTCCAAAAGTTTCCAAATACCATCCATCCCTCCCCCTCCCCCCCAGCTAAGGAGCCCTTATTTTGCAGTTGCTATGGACTTTGACCAGTTCTTTTTCTTTTACCTCCCACGTGTCTAGCTTCTGCTTTCAAGGCCATTTGCTGAGGCTTTGCCAAAGCTGAAAATGTTCCATACCCCCGAGGAGAACATGGCCCGTGCCAAGGGTGTTAACAGTTTAAGTTCTCACAGAGTCTGGACCTTGGTAGGATTCCATGTGGCCCAGTTCTGTAGAGTACAGGGGAGAATGGCCTCCCTCACTCTCAACCCTCTCAGTCCCAAATACGCTGCACTTATGCCGAGTCTCTCAGAGTCTCTTTGTCTAGTTCTCCGCTTACTTTCACATAAAAATAAAATAGGTTCCAGAGGTTCTGTAACTTGCTTCCACCTGCTTTTCTAGAAGGAAGTCATGGCCAAGGCCAGAAGGGGAACAGGAGATTTGCTGTCTCATCTATACCTCTCCCTTCCCCACTCCAAAATCTTTCCCAAACTGCTAATTTCCCTCTTCCTCTTCCTTTTACCAAATAGAAGCTTTTAAAAACCAACTGTGGCAGGCTACAAAGAGGAAGGGCCCATTAGAAAGGTGCTCCTAATCCGTATATATGAAATACATGAAATTTGTATACTTAAATAAAATAAAAAATAAAAAGAAAGATAAGAACTAAATGCCTTCTGTATATGAGCCAGAGTACAGTCCAGATATATAACAATGATTCTATTACTATGTAAATGGGAAACCCTATTTCTTGTCATTCAGATGCTATAATTTCTTCCTGATTCAGTTTAGATGTTACTTCTTGCAAGAAGTGTGAACTGATCCTTTCAGTATGATGTAACCTCTCCCTCTGTATTAATTTTCTAGGGCTGGACTTAGTGCCAGAACCTGGGTGGCTTAGAACAACAGAATTTATTCTCTCAAAGTTCTAGACACCAGAAGTTTGAAATTAAAGTGTCGGCAAAGGAATCCTCTCTCTTATGGCTCTAGGGGAGAACCCTCCCTTGTCTCTTCCTAGCTTCTGGGAGTTCCCAGTGGTCGTTGGTGTTCCCTGGCTTGTAGCTGCATCCCTTGAATCTCTGCCTCCGCCATTGCCTGGCTTTCCTCACGCTGTGGACTCTGCCTTCACAGGGCATTCTCCTCTCTCGAATGAACAGCAGGCGCAGTGGATTAGGGCCCACGCTCATGAGCTCATTTCATCTTGATTCCCAAAAAGTCACATTCTCAGGAACAGGGGTTTAGGATTTCAAAAATACCTTTTTGGAGTTTTTTTGTTTGTTTGTTTGTTTGTTTTTGACAGGCAGAGTAGACAGTGAGAGAGAGAGACAGAGAGAAAGGTCTTCCTTTTGCCGTTGGTTCACCCTCCAATGGCCCCCATGGCTGGCGCGCTGCGGCCTGTGCACCGTGCTGATCCGAAGGCAGGAGCCAGGTGCTTCTCCCGGTCTCCCATGGGGTGCAGGGCCCAAGGACTTGGGCCATCCTCCACTGCACTCCCAGGCCACAGCAGAGAGCTGGCCTGGAAGAGGGGCAACCGGGACAGAATCCGGCACCCCGACTGGGACTAGAACCTGGTGTGCCAGCGCCGCTAGGTGGAGGATTAGCCTAGTGAGCCTCGGCGCTAGCCTGGAGGTATTTTTGATTCAACCCACAGCACCTTCTGATAATATTCTGAAATGGAATCACAACAATCTTTCTTTTCCAACAGCTATCATGTTCTCTCCCACTATGACACCAAACACTCCAAGGACAATGTGTGTTTCTGATTCACTTTTGTGTCCCTGACAATGTCTACCTGGCCCATGATAGATTTTCTAGTTAATAAATGACTGGGTTGAAATGTGCACCACCACCCCCTTTCCTGACTCACGACCAGCTCATTAGGTTGAGCATACAACTGCCTGCCTGGTCTGTGAGTTTGTGAGTTTCTCGTTTTGTCAGCTCTTAGGCTGATTTCTTTTCTGGAAAGAATAGAGATCAGGAGAATAAATTGGATACAGCCTGCCTAAAGTAGCTCAGTATTTGTGTTTTCTGAGGGTGAATAGTGGGCTTTATTTACCAGGGAAACCATCTTGTTTGTTTCCAGTTTACAGATATTTTTCCTTTTTTACATTTTCAGCATCCTGATGATGTCCTTAGTAATAGTTGCTATGGAAACATTTTAGTGTTTCCTGCAGTACTAGGTGGTACAGCACCTGGAGCCCTCTTTAGTGCAGATTTATGATGACACTCAAGCCACGAATTTCATTTTTGGGCTATTTTCTGTCCTAGTACCTAGTACCTGTCATCAGGAGGAGTGATGTACATTGATTCTGGGCCTTCAGTTTACCACACTGAGTTTATTTTCCTTTTCATTGTTCCTGGAATACTCATCATCATCTTAAAGACTTCCCTTATTATTTCACCAAATGTAGTGGTAGAGTCAACCCTGTCATTTCTTCACTGAATGCAGTGGTAAGCAGATGTCATTCCTCTGACGCCGGTGTGGTGAGGTGTGATGTAGACTTGTTTCACTCACGATCTTTTAAAGCTGTATAGTCTAGAAATTATAACTGAATAATGGGGGAGAAGAGAACACTGGGTTATCTGGACTCTGGTCTGTTGGGTTACATGGATGCAACAATAGTTATACATGTCTCATCTATCTGATGGAATTATAAGGAGGGTTGTGTGAGTCATGTATGTAAAAGAAGTTTGTAAGCTGTATAGTGCTATTAAAATGCTTACAAATGTGATTGTTCACAATCATAACTTAACTCTTAACAGTCCTGGCTCTGCTTCTGACTTGGGTATCCATGTGGGAAACAAGTTCATCTCTGAGGCCTGAGTTGGCCTCTTTATGAATCACTTGTGCAAATGTTTAGGCCGTTTTACAGCATTTCCACAGTCATGAGGTTCTCTATCAACCTCTTCTATTCCTCCCTCATCTTTTATCGGGGAAATAAGGAATAATATCACTCTAGATTGAAGAGGAGGAAAAAATTTTATTTCTTGACTATTTCTTCAAGTTAATTCTTTATTTTTATTTATTTATTTATTTATTTATTGACAGGCAGAGTTAGACAGTGAGAGAGACAGACAGAGAGAAAGGTCTTCCTTCCGTTGGTTCACCCCCTAAATGGCCACTACAGCCGGCACACTGCGCCGATCTGAAGCCAGGAGCCAGGTGCTTCCTCCTGGTCTCCCATGCGGGTACAGGACCCAAGCACTTGGGCCATCCTCCACTGCCTTCCCAGGCCACAGCAGAGAGCTGGCCTGGAAGAGGGGCAACCAGGACAGATTCCAGTGCCCCAACCGGGACTAGAACCTGGGGTACTGGCGCCACAGGCAGAAGATTAGCCTAGCAAGCCGCGGTGCCAGTCTAGTTAATTCTTTAATATAAAGTCTCTGTAAAGCATCTGTTGCCAGTTTGTTTTGCTGGCATGTGCTGCTATAATTTTGTTCCTCCAAAAAGTTTTGATTTGATTTTATCTTTGTACTTTTAAAAAAATTACTAATTTATTTGAAAGGCCGAGCTGCACAGAGAGGAGAGAGAGAGAGAGGAAGAGGAAGAGGAAGAGGAGAGGATGAGGAAGAGAAAGAGAAAAAGAGAAGGAGAGGAGGAGAGAGTCTTCTAGCCATTGGTTCACTCTCTAAATGGGGGAAAAGGCTGGGGCTGGGCCAGGCCAAAGCCAGGAGCTTCATTCAGGTCTCCTGCATGGTTGACAGGGGCTTAAGCACTTAGGTCATCTTCATCTTCTGCTGCTTTCCGAGGCATATTATCAGGGAGCTGGGTCAAAAGTACAGCAACCGGCCGGCGCCGCGGCTCAATAGGCTAATCTTCCACCTGCGGAGCAGATACATGGAGTTCTAGTCCTGGTCGGGGCGCCGGATTCTGTCCTGGTTGCCCCTCTTCCAGTCCAGCTCTCTGCTGTGGCCTGGGAGTGCAGTGGAGGATGGCCCAAGTCCTTGGGCCCTGCACCCGCATGGGAGACCAAGAGAAGCACCTGGCTCCTGCCTTTGGATCAGTGTGGTGCGCCAGCTGCAGCGGTCATTGGGGGGTGAACCAATGGAAGGAAGACCTTTCTCTCTGTCTCCCTCACTGACCACTCTGTCTTTCAAAAAAAAAAAAAAAAAAAAAAGCAACCAGTACTCAAACTGGTACTTCTATGGGATACAGGTGTTGCAAGTAGCTGCTTAAGCCACAACACTGGCTCATATATACGCACTTTGGAAGGTAGACACCCAACCACATGGGAGAAAATACTAAGGCATACAGACTTTGACAATTCTAGGAAAAGACTCAGAATACATCTAGTGACTTATGTGTTATGGTTTAAAAAAAATCTATCAAATATTTCACAAGTGCCCCAGAAATTGATTGTCATTGCAGTTAAATAGAATCTGCTATAAGGAATTCCTGGCCAGACAACTAACTCTAGATATATTTATTATGCAGCTTCTCTTGAAACATTTTCAATTTTCTCACTTGGAGCAAATTTTATGTGTTAAATGCAGTTGGTTCCTCGACACTGACTCATTTTCCAGATCTGAATACACATTTTTCCCCCAATTGACTTTGCTCTGACAGTATGTGGTCCAGCTCTTCTTTAATGTACTATCAGATTATGGTCAGCTCATCAGTAACAGAAAACAGGCTTCTTGCCCACTCTTAGGAAAGTGGAATGAAGTCAGATAATTTGATTTTAAAATTATATGAAAAGGAGAATGAAAAAATGAACAGAAACCTAACTTGCTTCTGGGCTGAGGACTGTTATTATAAAGAGTCTGGGCAATTAGACATCCAGAAACCAAAGGAAAATCTACACTATGCATGGTTTTGAGTAGACTGCAGCAGAATTTCCCCTTACATTAAATATCAAGTAGCCTCAGTGTGTGTCATTATAAATAAACCTAGGAGCCAAGGTTTCATGAAAGACAATAGCAAATGCTTGTGATTAGTTCTGTGTGATTCAGCATCTCAACACAAAAAGCAGGCCAAATGCTCAAAAGCTATTTCTCTACATGTAAATTTTTGGTGCAAATTTCATCTCTGTCTCTAGGAAACAAATTTAGAAGGGTAATAGAGTTAACAATGAAGAATCCATTTTACTCAGGCGCTAATCATGTCAGCTTTAAAAAAGTCAGCATTCAGTTTTGCTTAGCAAATAATCAGCTTGACATATTTTGACTAACCAAAGTGACCAACTGATTTTTTAAAATTTATTTGTATGCATTTCATAAATACAACATTAGAAAAATAGTAATTTTTCCCATCATGCTTGCCCTTGCACCCACTCTGCCATGCCTCTTCCTTTTCCCTCTCCTGTTCCCTGTCTTGTTTTTTTTTACCAAGATCTATTCTCATTTAATTTTATATACAGAGGATAAACTCTATTCTAGATAAAGAGTTTAGTGCTTTGTATGAAAGAGAAAAAGAAAAAGAGGAAAAAATAGAGAAGAAAAAAAGAAAAATACATTTCCTCAACTGTCCAGACAAGTGTTGTTCAAGTTATGGCATCTCAAAGATAGTTTTGCTTTCTTTTTGGTTTTTTTTTTCCTCTTCCTTACTTCCCCCCTCTTTCCTTTTAGAAACTTAGTTATCTTTAAAGAACCCAAGAATGATACATCTTTTGTGAACTCTTAGATATAACTATAACTTATGAGATATAAAAAATATCCTCCACTTAACACACTAAAAGGAAATAATTGTTTGGGAACAAGTTTTACTATTAAGTCTCATAATACAACTCTTTGGGGACAGAGATCCTGCATGGGCCATTAGTGTACAGTGACTCTTGTTGTTTAACAATTAACACTCTTGCGTATGATGTCAGTGATCACCCGAGGCTCTTGACATGAACTGCCTAGGCTATGGAAGACTTTTGGATACACAACTCAGCAAGGCTGTAAGCAAATTGGAAGTTCTCTCCTCCCTTCAGAAAAAAAATTACATCATTCATTGATGGCCACTTCTTTCCACTTGGGTCTCACCCACAGAGATCTTTTATGTAGGCTTTTATGTGGCTTTCCATGCCTGAAATGTTTCCCTGGGCTTTTCAGCCAGACCAGAATGTCTAAGGGGCTGATTCTAAGGTCAGAGTGCTACTTAAGGAAATTGTCATTCTTTAAGTCTGTTGTATGGACTGCTTCCCATGTTGGAGCATTCACTTCTTTTTAATTCTGCCTATTATTATTACCAAACACTTATTCCTATTTCTATTATCACTTTAACACTTGATCCTATCTATAGGATCACTTGACTCTTGAAATGCTATTTATCTCCAAGCTTAAGGGTATTTTGGATCCAATGGCAAGTTTTTAAACTGTACCCTTAGAAGTAAGTCCATAGGAATGTGTGCAGAACTATATGACTTTACAGTTACAGACTTCATACATTTCACAATTACAACTTTAGGATCATGATAATTCTTCCCACCATGCCCACCCTCCCAACCATACTCCAACCCCCCTTTGACTTCCCCTTCTTATTTTTTACTAACATCTATTTTCAATTAACTTTATATAAATGCAGTTAACTCTATATTAAGAGTTATAGGATTAGTATGAAAGAATAATAGATAGGTAAAATAAGATAAATAAACAAACAAACAAACCTTTCTCAACAGCCAACAGAAAGGCTGGTCAAAGTATTGCTTCTCAAAGGGTCAATTTCACTTCTACAGGTTGCCTTTTAGATGCTCTATTAATTATCACAGGCAGGCAGAAAATACAGAATTTGTCCCTTTGCAACTGGCTTATTTCACTAAGTATGATGTTTTCATTATATCCATTTTGCTGCAAGTGACTGGATTTCATTTTTTTTTACTGCTGTGTATTATTCCATGGTGTACATATCCCATAATTTCTTTATCACATCTTCAGTTGATGGGCATTTGGGTTGATTCCATGTCTTTGCTATTGTGAACTAAGCTGCAATAAATATGGATGTACAGATAGCTCTTTAATATGCTGATTTCATTTCCTTTGGTTAAATTTCCAGGAATGGGATAGCTGAGCCATATGGTAGGTCTATCTTAGATTTCTGAGGTATTTCCATACTGTCTTCCATAGTGGCTTTACCAGTTTACATTTCCAACAGTGGATTAGGGTACCTTTTCCCCCACATCCTTGCCAGCATTTGTTGTTTGATGATTTTGGTATGAAAGCTATTCTAACTGAGGTGAGGTGAAACCTCATTGTGGTTTTGATTTGCATTTTGTTGATGGCCAGTGATCCTGAATATTTTTTTCATGTGTTTGTTGGCTATTTGAATGTCCTCTTTTGCAAAATGATTGTTTAAGTCCTTGGCCTATTCCTTAACTGGGTTATCTGTTTTGTTGTTGTGGAGTTTCTTGATTTTTGATAATCTTGTTATTAATCCTTTTTTAGTTCCATAGTTTGCAAATAATTTCCCATGTTGGAGCATTCACTCCTTTATAATTCTGCCTATTATTATTACCAAGCACTTATTC